AGCCCACTGCTCTCCCTCCTGGGGGACTGGTTCTTGTATTTTCTTGTCCTAGATTCTCCAGCATCCCCCCAGGACCTAGCCCAGGCCTGACTGCCTAGTAAATATGAAATATACATCTAGGTGTTCAACAGATGACTGTGCAAAAAGTGTAGTTAACTAATTGTGAGCAGCATCGAAGAACATCTCATTAGCTTCATGAACACAGCAGCATCCCATCTAGAAGACAGAAGAAGCCCATCGGCCTATCAGAAAGCAGCTTTCATGGGCCTATCAGGGAGCAGCTTTCATGGGCCTATCAGGGAGCAGCTTTCATGGGCCTATCAGGGAGCTGTTTTCATGGGCCGATCAGAGAGCGGGTTTCATGATCCGAGAAGGCTGAGGAAAGAAACAGGCTGCTGGTCCCGGGCAGGCCGTTTTTAATCTTCCTTTTCCTCTAGGCAGCTTCTGCTCAATGAGATTTCTCTGATGTCGCTCTCCTGCTTCTATGAAGGGAGATCTTAGGCTTTGGTCTGGTGATGTGGTTATTAGCCTGCAGGGCTCCATTTCAGGTTGTCCTGCTGGGAACCCAGCACAGGAGCTCAGTGTGAGTTAACGGCCTTCATGTATCTTAGTTCATTAAAACACTTAGTTGTCTTTGTGTATGTGTGTATGATACACGTTTGTGTGTGAGGTCAGTGTGCCACAGGTCAGAGGACAACCTCGGGCTTTGTTTCTCAAGCTTGATTTTGAGGCAGGGGCTCTCTTGTTTGTCGCTGTTCAGCGTACTCCAGGCCAGCCGGCCCATGAGCTTCCAGGACCATTTGGAATTCTAGCAGGAGAGCTAGAATTACAGACATGTGCCACGTCCAGCTTTTACAGGGGTTACAGGGGTCCGGGATCCAGCTTAGATCATCAGGCTTGCCAGCAGGTGCTACCATCTCCTGAGCCAAACCCCAGCTCCCTATTTTATTTAATGAAAAGAAGCTGCCCCAGTTCTAATGGAGTGTAGAGAAAGCGGAGCACGTTGGATCAGAGAAGGTTGTGGCTGAGAGTTAAGGAGAAGACCACGGATAAGTAGGAGAGGAAGAGACAGGCTCGGGCAGGAGGACATTGCATGAGCTTTGGGGGACCCTTAGGAGGAGGCTCCCTAATGCTGAGATCAAACCCTCCATTTCAGGGCCCTAAGTGACCGTACCAGGCACATGGGGACGATGAAGCTACTTCCCACCTGGCTCCTACCTGGGCCTTACTGGCCCCAAGGCTGTATCTGTCTTCTTATGTCTTTGAGGGGCTTCTAGTTGCCACCATCAGCTGTGAGGTCCCCCCGTGGGCCTGGCTCCCACAGACTTCCTTTGAAGACAGACTCCATGGGACGCAGTACCCCAAGTCTGTATCACAGTGTTGGTCCAAGGAATCACCCTCGGAGGACACCATCCACTTGCCTTTCACTACAGAATTTTTGGGCAATCTAGAGCACTGTAAATATTTCTGTTGACTAAAGGATTAAACCATGGAAGGAGGTGGGAGTGGGGATGTCTCAAGATGGCTTCCCTGTCTGGGATCCAGAGTCTCTGCCACCAGCTCCCCTCCCCTCCCCCCATCCCTACCCCATTCCCCAGCTGGGTTCTCACTATCATTGCCCTGAGCCAGAACAGCAGCAGGAAGACTCCACCTTCATATACAAATACAGAGATCCAGCACATGGTCCTTGCCCAGATCAAGCATGGGCTATCTACCCAGCTGCAGACTCAGACAAGCATATCAGGGTGAGTGATGCTGAACCAGAGCAGAATTGGAGATTACAGGGGTGTTTATGGCTATATCACCCTGAACTTGCCAGATCTCCTCTGAGGAGTAAGAGATAACTAGAGTGAAGGCATGCAGCAAGCGTCTCCTTCCAGGGAGATGGTCTGAGACGGTAGCCAGAGAGAGCCAAAGAGCCAGGCCACTCCAAAGGAGCCACAGAACTTGGTGTTCCACTTGCACCCACCCAGGGCCACCTCCAGGCTCTGCCTGCGAACCAGCTTGGATCGCAGCTGCTGGTCTCCTTCCCGCAGGTGGTACTAGAGCCCTGCTTCCTGGCCGTGGTTGCTTTACCTTCTAGCCCTTCTCTTCTAGTAACTGCAGCAGTTCACAACCTGCCCCCCCACTCCCCAGGACCTCCAACACCTTTGGTGACACCCCCACACCCTCTAAACATCCCAGACAGGAACAAGGCAAGAACCAGGCTGTGTGCCCTACTAGAGGGAGGGAGGGCTTAGAGCCAGGGAACTGAGGACTTGAGCCAAGCCTAAAGCATCAGGAGGCTTGGACTGCAAGATGGAGTCCCTGGCTGATAACTGCTCACATCCTTCTGACCACTCAGGTAGGTCTCTGGACACGAGGGCAGCTAGCAGTGGCCCTCAGTGATCCCACGGGGAGGGGACAGGGTGGCAGCCCCAAAACTGACGGATGGGCTGGCTCCAGGGAGTCTCCTCTTGCCTGTTTCCTTCTGGGCTCCAGAGCAGGTGGTCTGAGGCCAGAAGAGGCCGCCCAGCTGGCTCCCTGGGCAGCCAAGATCCCCAGCAAGGGCAGTGTTTGTTTCCCTCCCAGAGTGCCCAGGCTGGTCACCACTTGTGCTGTGGTTGCCTGGGGAACTCTTGCTATTTTCACGCAGGCTCTGGATGATGAGCTGTGGAAACACTCTGGCAAGGTTGGTCTGGGAAGTGATAACCCAAGTAGGCTCTGGCGGAGAGGAGAGCTTGGCAGGACGAGGGGAGGATCAGCATTCACACACGCAGCCCTGAGTGTGGTGGAGAGGGTGGCTGGGGAAGGCTGTGCCCAAAGAGAGGGGCACCAAGTCATTCACAGTTCATTTCTTCCTACATGTTCACTTTCTGTTCATGGGATCAAACATTCGAGGCCCCTTGTGCTGGGTGGCATGGGTTTGGCAACCCAGTGAGGCTGTCCAGCCCCATGGGAAGCTGGAATCGTAAACTATGACTTCAGTTCAGCAGGATCTGTGCCACCACAGGGGTTTTGCAGCCAGTGTGGACAGCATGTGCATGGGTCCAGAAGAGACTGAGTATAGCACCACCAGAGTGCATGCCCAGTCCTGGGCAAAGTGGGACCAGGCCAAGAACCAAGTCACCAGGAAGGTTTGGGATGAGGTGAGCTAGGGCCACTGAAACAGTTGTGATGAGGTCCTGGGGACCAAAAATGGAGCCCAAGCCATTCCCTGGAGTGAGGTGGGTTTCCCTGATGCCCCTGGGATGCAGGGAGGCTCCACAGGGCATCTGAGAGCCCTGAAGCTGCAGGAGGGGACCCTCCACCAGGAGAGCCAGGCTAGACCTCCCGCTCAGGCTGGCACCCGCTGCCCATCTGCCCTCCCTCCAAAGTCCAGTTTGTTGACCCACCACTGGGCATGCCCCGAATGCCCTCCGCCTGCCTGTGGCCATACCCCTGCTGGGAAAGGCCTACTGGCCTGGAAGGTGAGGGTGGCTTGCTGCAGAGGGGGACGAATGTGGAGAAAATGCAGCACTCACTGGTGTCGGGGCCAGCTGGGTACAACACGCGACTGCCTCCCCCAGTCCTGAGCCAGCCTTGTGCGGTGGCTACTTTTGCCCTCATTATATACATTAAGAAACCGAAGCTCCAAGAAGCTAACAAGCCTCACCAGAGCTGCGGTGATGAAATCAGGAGTCAAACGCAGGTGTGACTCTGAAACCCACCTCTAAAGACCATGCACATCTGCGACATGCCAAGTGCTGAAGCGCCCAAGACAGCAAGGTACTGTCTCACGAGACCCTAAGGAGGTAACGTGGGAAGGAGCCACAGAGGACTGGACTTGTCCCAAACAACCTATGCCCCTGTGACCTTGGGAGGGGCTTTGTGGTTCCCACGAAGAGTAGAAATGACGCTGGGTGCCTGTCTTCAGATCATGAAAGAAAAAGTCATCCTCAGAAAGGAACGGGGCTCCCAGCCAGCTGCTGGCATCGCCGAACAGAAAGGTGGGTGGAGTCAGGAGGGAGGCTTTGGGCCCGCAGGGATCTATGCAGATTCCCCGCCCATCTGTGCCCTCTGAACTGCCCTTCCTGCGGCCCATGCCGCTGCTCAGACTGGTGGGCTCCATCCTGCCGGGTCTGGTTTGGAATCTCGAAGTGAGAGACTAATACCGGAGAGAGGCCCCTCGGCAGCTGAGGTGGCAGCTGTGAAGGAAGGTAAGGAGCTTGAGGCCGGCAGGGGAAACAGCCCTGGCGGTGCAGGATTGGGGGGACCAGGGGGCGCAGCATTGTCGGAAAATCCCAGCCAGGTTTGGATGCTCTGGCCTTCTGCGGAGATCAGAGCCTAAAGAAAGGCATTCTCGCCGCTGCCAAGCCAAGGTGTGTGGGAGGTCAGTGTTTTCCAGGGCTGTACACTGCTGGGATTGACCTGTATGTCGTCTGTTTGGGGTTGCCATCACTACCAGAGTGTCCCCCACCGAGACAGCTATGCCCGTGGGTTGGTAAAGGGCGTGGAGATAAATCACTCTGGAGTCTGTTTCAGTAGTGATGGGACAATACCCCCAGAGGAGGGATTTCCTCCTGGGACCTGAACGACAGTGTGAGGTGTGGGTGTCAGTGTTCTCTGAATGACCCCTGGCCAGGCTCTGCCATGCTGGACTCCAGGCTCCAGTCTGGCTCTTTCCCATCATCCCTCCAGCGGCCACGGCTTCCATGGCCCTTACCTCCCGGCCTCTTCACAGGCACAAGGACAGCAGGACCAAGCTAGGCACCTCAGCCTGCAAGCTGTGCGAACAAGGGGCAGAGACAGAAGTCTGTTGTAGCAGTGGGGTATTTATTGTTATCCTTACTACACAGTAACGTGGTTGTGGTAGGGAACCCGGGAGCGCAGAAGTGAGTGGAGAAGCGGTGAAGGTCCCTCACAGCCCCACTGCCCGGGTAGCTAGCGATGGACCTGTAATTGCCCCTGGGAGTACCACCCTGTGCAGACAGGGTCACCCAGGCAGGCAGAGCCCCGACCAAAGACATTCTGAAGCAGTCTCCCAGTTCAACATCAGCTTTATTCAAATGCAAGGGACCTGGAGGCTTCCTCAGCTTCTTCCATGGGACATTTAACCCCTGTCTCCCCATCTCACCCTAGAGCCAGCCCTTTGCAGCTAGACATCAGAACTCGTCCTTTATGTCAAAATGGGGCTGGTCTTCAGGCTTGAAGTCCAGGTTGGGGCTGCCATCCTCATTAAGGATCCTGCGGGCCGTGTAGCCGACAATGGGGTATTTGGCTTTGTACACCTTGCTGAAGACGTCATCCAGGGTCTCCAGCTCCTTGGCTGTGAGACCCGTCTTGGGAAGAAGAAATGGGAGATGGAGGTGAGCAAATTGAATTTGACCACACTGTGTCTGGCACTGACCTCTCTCTGCCCCTGCCTTACCCACCCCAAACCTCAAATGCAAGAGAAAAACACGCTTAAAAAAAAAAAAAACCCAAAACTTTTTAGGAGAGCGCAGGAACACAGTCCTCACCACCACAGGTTATATAGTTGAGTTTCTTGTGTTTGGGGAAATTGCAGGGGTCAGCATATCTGAAGTGCAATGGATGAGGCTCACCTTTGTGTTTATGGTGCCCCCCACTTGCCAGAAATATATGGAAAAACCATCTTAGGTCAAATAATGGGCAACTGCTATGGAATAATCCTTCTGTACACTGTGAAGATGTGTGACTGTCATTGTTAATAAAGACATGACTGGCCAATAGCTAGGCAGGAAGAGGTTAGGCAGGAGAGCCAAACTGAGAGAATGCTGGGAAGGAGGGCCGAGTTGCCAGCCAGACACAAAGAACGCAGGAGACAAACATGCCGTGATGAGAAAGGTACTGCCACATGGTAGGGTGTAAATGAGAAATATGGGTTAATTTAAGTTGAAAGAGCTGGTTAGTAACAAGCCTGAGCCATCAGCCGAGCATTTGTAATTAATAGTAAGTCTTCATGTGGTTATTTGGGAAGCCCACGGTCCCAAAGAAAAACTCTGCCTTCAGACAATGGACTTTTAAAGAAACAGCCCTAGGTATACAGAGTATGTGTGCAGAGGGTAAGTGAGGGTGTTTACAGGATGTGAGTGCAGTGTGTGTGTGTGTGTGTGTGTGTGTGTGTGTGTGTGTGTGTGTGTACAGGGGTGAGTACAGCATGTGTGTGCAGGTTGTGAGCAGAGTATGTTCAGGGTATATGAATGCAGGGTATAGGTGCAAAGTGTCTGTACAGAGGTAGAGTGTCAAGTGTGTGTGCAGGGCAAGAATGCAGGGGAGCAATGGCTTCATCAATTTTGCTGGTCAGCTGATAGAGGAATTATTGTCCACAGGATACCCAGTCTTGGATGGGCTGCCCGATAGCCTGTGTCTACCTCTCGATAGTGGTACACATTTCAGTACACTGCTGTGATTTGGATGGAGAGTGTCACTTTATGAAAGGTCCCCATGTTAATTGTTTGGTCTCCAGGGTGGAGTTATTGGGAGGTGATGGAGACTTTAGGGGCAGGGCCTAGAGAGAGGTCCTTACATTGAGAGTATGCCCTCCACAGGAATTGTGGGACATTGGCCACTTCCCCTTTCTCTTCTGCTTCCTGGTCATGAGGAGTATGGGTTTTCTCTGTCTCATGCTCCAGCCATGAGATCAGGCAGTGATGGACATCAGCCTCCAGATTAACCCCTTTCTCTTTAGATATTGTTTACAAGGCTGGAGAGAGAGAGAGCTCGGTGGTTAAGAGCACCCATTGTAGAGGACCCAAGTATGGTTCCCAACACCCACATCAAAACTGCCTCAGAGTCCAGGGGATCTGGTGCCCTCTTCTGGCCTCTACAGGCACATGCATGTGTGGCACACAAACTGATATGGACACACACATACACAAAAATAAAAATAATTTTTAAGATTATTTATTTCAAATATTTTGTTACAGTAATGGGAGGCTGACTAGATGCTTCCCCTTAATTTCTTTCTGTAATGTTATGGCGTAAGAATTTGACTTATCTCACCAGGCAATAGTGGCACATGAATCTCTGAGTTTGAGGCCAACCTGGTTCAGGGCTACACAGAGAAACCCTGTCTTGAAAACAACAACAACAACAACAACAAAAATAATAATTTAAATTATCTCAATTTATTTATACTTATTTGATGAGTATAATTCAGGTAAATGACAGCCTATTGTAGGGATCACTATTTAAAAAATTAATTTTAGGGCTGGAGCAATGACTCAGCGGTTAAGAGCACTGGCTGCTCTTCCAAAGGACCTGGGTTCAATTCCCAGCACCCACATGGCAGCTCACAACTGTCTATATCTACAGTTCCAGGGGATCTGACACCCTCACACAGACAAAACACCATGCACATAAAAAAATTAAATTAAAAAATTAATTTTGAGATTACATTTATTTTTATGTGTGTGCATGCAGAGGTCAAAGGGCAGCTTGCTGGAGCCAGTTCCTAACCTCCAGTTGACTTCTCTCTCCATTCAGGTCCCAAGGATTGAACTCAGGTCATGAAGATTAACAAATAGCATCTTTACCTATTGAGCTACTTTGCCAGCCTCCACTGCCCCCCTCCCTTTTTGGGTGTGTGTGTGCTGTGGGATGGTCTGTATGTCAAATTGCTCTAATTGGTCAATAAATAAGACACTGATTGGCCAGTGGCCAGGCAGGAAATATAGGCGGGACAAGGAGAGAGGAGAATCCTGGGAAGCAGAAGGCTGAGGCAGGGAGACACTGCCAGCCATCGCCATGACAAGCAGCATGTGAAGATGCCGGTAAGCCATGAGCAATGTGGCAAGGTATAGATTTATAGAAATGGATTAATTTAAGATATAAGAACAGTTAGCAAGAAGCCTGCCACAGCCATACAGTTTGTAAGCAATATAAGTCTCTGTGTTTACTTGGTTGAGTCTGAGTGGCTGTGGGACTGGCGGGTGACAGAGATTTGTCCTGACTGTGGGCCAGGCAGGGAAACTCTAGCTACAGGTGTGCATTCAAGACAGAGTTTCACTGTGTAGCACTGGTTGTTCTGGAACTCACTCTGTAGACCAGGCTGGCCTCAAACTCAGAAACCTGCCTGCCTCTGCCTCCCAAGTGCTAGGACTAAAGGCGTGCATCACCAAGCCTTACTATAATCCGCCCCATTTTAAAAAAATGCTGGTTCCAAAAGCCGGGTAGTGGTGACACACGCCTTTAATCCTAGCCCTTGGGAGGCAGAGCCAGGCAGATCTCTGTGAGTTCGAGGCCAGCCTGGTCTACAGAATGAGTTTTAGAACAGCCACCAAACCAACACAGAGAAACCCTGTCTTGAAAAAAACAAAACAAAACAAAAATGCTGTTTCTTTCTGCACAAAGCATGAGCATGGAGGGTGATTCTGTTTCTCCCCAGTCCATCAACTAGGCTATGGCAGCTCCCAAGAGTGGGCTCAGGATGGGGTATGGATGGAGTGCAGACCACAGGGATGTCAAGCTTCTGGGCAGGCTGGGGACAAGTGTTGAGGTCTCCTATGTCGGATGACAAGTCCACCCAGAGCTTGGACTTAAGTCTGTAGACAGTGAGGAGCCATGGGAGGCTCCTAAGTAGGGGTGACCTGAAGCATTTATCTAATTATTCTTTATCAATAAAAAAATCGGGAGTCAGATATCAGGGTAAGAACCTGAAAGATCAGAGAAGCAATGGAAAACCCACCAATGACCTCCTCTCTCTTCCATTCCTCCATCCAAAAGGGCTGAGATCTCAGCCCCGCCTTACTACTTCCTGTCTCCTGTCTGTCCTCGGTCCTTCAAGACCTCTATGGTTAATTTTGGTCAGCTAGTAGCTAGCTCCGCCCTCTGACTTAAAGCAAACTTTATTGTCAGAATGCGATCAAAATACCACCCAACTGTGACCCAGTAAGATAATGCATTTCAAGAAAGTAGTTGGCCACTACACCACAGAGGCTAAGTAACTGCTTATTAAGAAGTTCTGTGGACCAAGGATCTTGCCCAGTGGCAGAGCATTTGCCTGGCCTGTGGGGGGCCTGAGTTCCAATCTACAGAAATAAAAGAACTTTGTTAAACCCAGAGACTTAAAACAAACAAACAAAAAACCAAAGTCATCTTGGCTTAGTGATGTAAATCTTTAATCCCAGCACTTAGGAAGCAGAGTTAGTCTTGTAAGTTTGAGGCCAGCCTGGTCTACATAGAGAGTTCCAGCCCAGACAGGAATACATAGTGAGACCCTGTCTCAAAAAAAAAAAAAAAAAAGACAGAAAACAGTAACAAAACCCATACATGGAAGCAGACAAATGTTCATCAGCTTACAGTGTCATGAGTGAGGTCTGCAGGATCCAGTGACATCTTGGCCACACCTCTGGTAGAGTCCTTCCCGGTCAAGGCATTATAGGGGGCTCCTCGCCCATAAAACTCTGCAATGGGGTGAGGGAGAGTTTGGGTGTGCATGGAGAGCAGCCAGGAGCTTACACTCAGGGGTTCTCCAGACCCCTCAATCCTCAGAAAGGCTGTAGTTCTGAAGATGAACACAGCAGGGCAGATGGGAGGCCTGAGTCTACATGGTGCTCCGCTAGCAGAATGGTGCTCCGCTAACCCAGAATGGTGCTCCACTAACAGAATGGTGCTCCGCTAACCCAGAATGGTGCTCCACTAACAGAATGGTGCTCCACTAACCCAGAATGGTGCTCCGCTAACCCAGAATGGTGCTCCACTAACCCAGAATGGTGCTCCGCTAACCCAGAATGCTGCTCCACTAACCCAGAACATGAGTGAGGCACACCTGCCAACTAAGTGGTGGTTTGCAGAAAACACACAATGTAGTCTCTCTAAAAATGACTAACAATGCAGGTCTGTAATCACAGCTAGGAAGGAGGCTTGCATGTTCAAGGCTAGCCTGCACTTGCCTCAAAGTAAGTATTTTAAAATGGGAAGGGGGGGATGGGGTGTGACTCAGTGGTAGAGTACTTGCCTACTTTTATTATACTTAAAGTATGATAAAGTACGACTTTATCATACATAAAGTCCTGGGTTCAATCGTGTGCGTGCATGCATGCGTGTGTGTGTGTGTGTGTGTGTGTGTGTGTGTGTATAGGGTGTATGTATATGGTATGTTTTATCTCTGTGTATGTATGTATGTATATAGATGTATACAGAAACACAGATTATGTATGTATGTATGTATGCATGTAGATGTATACACAGACAAAAAGAGCCTCTGGTCTCAAATGCCTCAGGAAGCCAAGTCTCCTTACAGGATGTCATGAAAACCCACCTCCTGGGGCTGGAGAGATGGCTCAGTGGTTAAGAGCACTAACTCTTGTACAGGACCCAGGTTCAATTCCCAGCACCCACATGATGGCTCACAACCAACTATAACTCCAGTTCCAGGGGATCCAACGTCCTCTTCTGGCTTCTGTGAGTACTACATGCGCATGGTATACAGACATACACGCAGGCAAAACACCCACACACAGAAAATAAAATTTAGAAAAAGACAGGGGAAACTGTTCCATGGTGGTGTCACCATGTTCTGTCACCTTCTACATCAGCAACTCTTAGCTAAGGGGCAATTTTCTGGCTTCAACTAGAATGCTCATTGGGTTTGAACTGGATTCCAGAGCCCTTCAAATGGGAACATGGCGCTGATAGGAAATACTGAGTAGACAGACCTCTTTTGGTAAAACACTGGCAGGAATTAGCTCCATCAGGTCTTTCAGAGGGAAGGGGAGGGCCTTGCCTGACATAGCCCATTGCCTCTTTCCTCCAGGCCCCAGCCTGCTCCAGCCCTGAGTTCCCCAGAAAGAAAGAGTCACTTACCCTTTCCAGAGCTGACATCAAACACCACTCCCTTCACTGCCAAGTAGATGGGCTGATCCTCCTAGAAAGAAGGGAGAGGTGTGAGGAGCAGGGGAGAGGTGTGAGGAGCAGGGGAGAGGCGTGAGGAGCAGGGAGAGGCGTGAGGAGCAGGGAGAAACCTGGCTCTCTAAACAGGCAGTGAGGACTGCTCACCACAAGCTGGGTGGGAATGGTGGTGGGTCGCAAGGCTTGACCCTGGCAGGCTCACCACCTCATAGACAATGTGGTACCCACTCAGCAGAGCTGGGGAAGTCAGAAAGCACCGTGGAGAGTGTGGCAGTGCCCACTGTAAAACAGTCAGGAGCTGAAGCAGACGGGAGAGCCAGGCAGGAGAGCCAGGCAGGGTGGTGCGCTCCGTAATCTCAGCATTCAGGAAGCGGAGGCAGGAGGATCAGAGGTCCGAGGTTAGTCTCAGCTACTTATCAAATTTGAGGCTAGCCTAGGCTATGTAAGACTCTATCTCAAAAAACAAAACAAATAAAATACAAATCAAAAGAGCACAAAACGCTGGATGAGTTCAGTCAGGGCACTGCCCTGTCACCCAACAGACACATGTGGGTTTAAGCACGCAGTGATCCACTTTTTATTTTGCTTCTATTCTAAAAAAAAGATTTATTTGGGCTTAGAGAGATGGCTCAGTGGATAAGAGAACCTGGGTTTGATTCCCAGCACCTGCATGGCAGCTCACAACCATCTGCATCTCCAATTCCAGGGGATCTGACTTCTGACCTCAGTGGGCACCAGGCACCACAATGGCACATGCGGTGTAGACATCCATGCAGGCTAAACAACTTTTAAAAATCACAGTTGTGTGTGTGTACGTCTATGAGAACATGGACATGTGGGGGGCGGGCTGTGCATACCTGTGCATACACAAAGAGCCCAGAGGTGGGTAATGGATGGCAATGGATCCTCTCTGACATTCCAGCTATTCCTTTGAGGTAGGGTCTCTCCCTGAACCCAAGGCTCCCATTTTCTCGGCTAGGCTGGAAGCCAGCAAGCCCCAGTGACCCCCAGTGACCTTCCTGTCTCCACCCTCTTTGGAGCTGGGGTTATAGGTGTGTGCAGGACCCCCAGCTTATTAAGTGGGTGCTGGGATCTGAACTCTTGTCTTCAGGGTCACACAGCAAAGCTCTCAAAAGCTGAGCCATCTTCCCAGCCCACATTTTGCTTCTTATAGGCAACTCTGCTTCCATGTACTGGAAAGTGCCTGTCACTTACACAGGCCCATGGGACCCTGCCTTATGAAGTCTATGCACCTGACAGGGACCTCATCTCATGGGTGTCACTGCATACGCTCTTAGAGCTGGGGTGCTGCGGGCACTGGCTGTTTCCGGTCTTGGAACCCTGGGGGACAGTGGTTTGAACACCTTCCTATGAACTGCATTCCACTTCCTTGTGATGTCAGTTTGTCCTTCAGAAACACCGAACCGTGTGCCCTGCATTCCTGTTCCTCTAGATCAGTGGTTCTCAACCTGCGGGTCACAATATGATTGATGGCAGTAGCAAAACTGCAGTTATGAAGAGGCAACAACAAAATAATGTTACGGCTGGGGTCACCACACATGAGGAACTGTGTTAAAGGGCCGCAGCATTGGGAAGGTGGAGAACACTGCTCTGGATTAGATAGCTCACTTGATAAGCAGTCAAAGTTGGGGAACAGGTGGTTACAGCTAGAGAAGGTAGCAGACCATCACAGCACTGGCCTGAGAGATGACTGCCCGTTATAGCAGCTGCTTTTCTGTCGCGGTGACATGACATGACCAAGACACCTTGGAAGGAAGGGTTTATTCCTTAAGTAGGTAAGGCTTACGTAAGCCCAGAGGGACTGTAGGGGTGACCAGGCCTGCAGATGTGGCTCAGTTGGTAGATGCTCACCTAGGATGACGAAAGCCCTGGCTTCCACCCCTGCATAAACTAAGCAGTGGCTCACACCTGTCACCCCTGTTCTGGAGGTGGAGGCAGGAGGCTTAGAAGCTTCAGGTCATCCCCGGCTCTATAATATGTTCCGGGGCAGACGAGGTTACGTGAGACACTGTGTCAAGAAAAAAGGTGTAACTATAGTACCTGGGAGGCCAGCCTGGGCTACTCAGCGGGCCTGTCTCAACACCTGCCCCTCTCCCACATGTGTTTAACTGCAGTGTTTGTCCAGCTTCCCGTCCGTCGCTTCTTTGCTTTTCTTATTGCCTACACTCTTCATTTCTTCCCCGTAAGACATTTATGCCCTTATTAAACTACATGCTGAGGGCGCCGTGCTAAGAGGAGATTACAGGAAGGGCAGATAGGTGTGCGTGGCACCTTTTTAGGAGCATTGTGACACAGCCATTCGGAGAGGTACATCAACCTCCGAACACCAGGTGTGTGAGGAGGAGTCTCTCCTGGAGACCAGTTTGCTCCCTTCACAAGGCACTGGGGTTCAGACTGTCGGGGAACAGTGGCTGAGAGGGGAGACCGTGGGTGGGGGCCTTGGTTGGGTGGATAGAATGACCAGAGACACCCACTGCCTTCTCCGCCTGGGTAGGTGCCACATTTGGGGACCCACAGCTAGATGTGGGTCCATATCAACTGACGTCTGGGAGTAGCCGTCTATGTTCCAGGAGTCCAGCTCAGCAGGGTGGGGCAGTGGACAAGCCTGAAATGTTTAGTTGTTCTTGCAGAGTGTCCGCTGCTGTTAACCCTCCTCTAAGTCGGTGCTTTGCTTCCATTTCCATCTAACAGTTTTAAGGCAAGTTTTATAAGATCCTCTTTTGCTCTATTTCTCAGTTGTTTCTTCTTTCTTCTTGGTTTGATTTGGCTCTACATGCAGTAAAGACCATTTTCTGTGGCCTTTAACTCCAGCGTGGGTAACAACCACCCTCTGGGTAAACGGCAACATGGACAGTTGTACTGTTAAGCCCCCCCCCCTGCCCTCTGCACTTGTTCAATGACACCTTCCTTCCTGTAAACCTGGACCACTTTGACAATTCACTGACCTCTGTGGTGTCCTCATACAGCCTGACCTTTGCCATCCTTTCAGAGGTAACCTTCCTCCCATGGTGGAAAGGGACACTGGAATGCCTTTTCCAGTTCTTGCTTTGGTCAGAAGTCACAAAGGGATTGAACATCATTTTGGCAGCTGCCACTCAAGAGAGATGACCGAAAAACGGAAGAGCCTAATCTAAGTTTTAAGAGCTGTAAACTCAAGAAGAATCATACAACAAAAACTGGTTTTCCTAATGGGATTGTATATTAAGTGTAATTCCAGTTAGGTGTGAGTGTGCATATCCCAGCATTCAAGAGGCAAAGGCAGGTGGATGAGTTTGAGGCCAGCCTGGTCTACACAGTGAGTTCCTGGCCAGCCAGGGTAGGCTGGCTAGTTTTATGTCAACTTGACATAAGCTAAAGACATTTTGGAAGAGGAAGCGTCAACTGAAAAATATCTACCTAAGACTGGCCTATAGGCTGACTTGTGGTTCATTTTCTTGATGATTGATTGGGAGGGCCTAGTTCACTGTGGGTGATGCCACCCCTGGGCTGGTGGTCCTGGGTGCTATAAGAAGGCAGGCTGAGCAAGCTGTGAGGAGCAAGCCCTTAATCAACACCCCTCCATGGCTTCTGCTTCAGTTCCTGCCCCCAGCCAGGTTCCTGCTCTGCTTGAGTTCCTGCCCTGACCTCCTTCAGTGGATGGAGTATGACCTGGAAGTGTAAGATGAAATAAACCCTTTCCTCCCAAGCTGCCTTTGGCCATGGTTATTATGTTGCACCACAGTAACAGAAACCCTAAGATACAGGGCCAAATAGTGAGACCTTGTCTCAAAACCCAGAACAATGAAAATACAATTCCAAAATTGCTCAGAGAGTTTGAAGTTAAAACTGGAAGGAGTCTAGAAGATGCTCACGCTCTCTTATGGGTGAGGCTGTTAGCTGTGCATATGTGCATGGGTCTGTGTGTGCGCATGCGCACAAGTGTGAGCTTTGAGACACGGCCTGCTATATAACCTAGGCTGGCCTTGAACTCAGTTCTCCTGACTGTCTCCTGAGAGTTGGGATTCCAGGCTTGCCCCACCACACCCTGCTGAGTAAGGCTGTCTGGATCCAAGGAGGTTAAACGATACAGCGTGACTGGGGGAGACGGGACCACAGGTGGAGCTTTGGAACACAAGGTTCTTCCTGCCCATCTTGCTGCCCACCAGAGGGCATCCTTAGCCCAGAGACATATACATGACAGGAGGGTACGGGAGCTTTCGATGTCCTTCACCTGGGACATGCGCCTTAGCATCTGGCCTTTCTGCCTGTCTCTGGCCAGGCAGAGGTCAGTGGCAAGTGCCTCAGTAGCTCCAATGCAGGGGCCATGGAAGCACTGGGCAGAGAGGAAGTTAAGTGAGTGTGGGTACAGCTGGCAGGCAGGCTTGGTCATTGGCCAGAGCACCTGCACCTCACCATCCTCTGGGCCCAGGCCAGGGCTGAGCCAGACCAGCTTCTCAGCACCCCTTTTTGGAAAAGAGGGAATCTGCTATGGGTGGGTTTTTTTTGTTTTTTTTTTTTTCAGAGAAAACACTGCTCTCCTGTGGTCTGAGGCCATGTTCTTCTAACTGCAGGCAGCACCCATGACCTGTCTGTGGGTCATAGAACAGGGATTTATCAACAGACTACTAGGGATAGGAGAAAATAACAGAAAGTAGACGAAAACTGAAGTGTCTGGGCTTGAGGTTTCCTTCAGTGTTCTCAATTAACTTTCACACAAGCTAAGGAGGCTAGTGGCAGTTGACACTGGCTAAGGATTGCCATGCGGAGTCTCATTCCAGCGTCACAAAATGCCTGTGTAGAGGAGGAACTCGCTGTAACCACGTGACGAGTCTTACACATCCACTCAGAAGTGCTACCAACCAAAGTTTATCAATTCTCAGCCAGGTGTGGTAGAGAAGTCATCACAGATAATCTGGGTGGGTGTGACCTTCGCCAACTCACTGAAAGGCCATGAGGTTCCCTGAGGAAAAAGGAACTCCACCTGGGCAGGCATGGTGATGCCTTGCCATGCCTGCCTTAAGATCTCTATGAATTCCTCGGCCACCATGGTCTACATAGTGAGTCCAGGACAGCCAGAACTACATAGTGAGACCCCCGTCTTGACAACCCCTTCCAGGAAGGAAGGAAGGAAGGGAGGGAGGGAGGGAGGGAGGGAGG